CCCAAATTTTCGAAATTTGGCAAATCTTGGGGAGGAAGGCAATGATTTCAATCCTTGCCATATTTCGAAATCCTTGAGGGTTAAGGAACTCTCAATTCGAAATTTGAGGGACAAAGGGAAGGGATAAGATCCTTTCCAAAAATTTCGAAATCTAAGGTTCAAAAACCCTAGAATTGAAAATCCTAAGTCCCAAAAGGTTTTAATTGCCATAAACACTAATTGATTAAATTCAAACAATTTCAATTAAAATCAATAGAAAACAAGCCAAAGCTTTGATACCACTGATGGGTTTTGAGCATAACAAACAATTCATATGTGTGCATGCAACCCTAAAATCTTGGATCTATGTTTTCTCTAATTGAACATGCAACCATTGAACATCATATGGAAAACCCTAGGTGGTATATTCTATTTTTGAAATTAATATAACTAGGGTTAGAATACATACCTTAATTGTTATATTGCAATAACAATGAATTCCTAGTCTTCTTGAAATCTTGAGAGCAAGCGTCACAAGTGTCACGCCTCTAATGGTTCACACCCAAACTAAGCAAGAGGATGAGAGATGCGAGAGGAGAGGAGGCTTGATAATTTCGGCTATTCCTCTATGGATTCAAGTGGCCAAAAATGAAAAGGGGTAAGGCCCCTTATATAGTGAGATAGCTTAGAGCCAAAGCTAGGGTTTTAGGAGGAAACCCTAATTCCTTAGCTTAAGGACTAAGCAGCGCAAGAACTCTCATCCAAGGCCTTTCGACGGAAATTATAGGGCCTTCCTATAGATTTTCGTCCAACATCTTTTAGGGAGGTTCTAGAGCCCAATTCCTCAACTATCAATAAATTTCCAGACAGCCCCTGCACTTTTAATTAATACATTAATCCCAAAAATAATTCCAACTAATTTATGATTAAATATATAATTAAATAATATGATTTATAATTAATATATTATTTTCATAATACATTAATAAATCATTTATTTCAATTTATTAATCAAATAATAAATTCAACCCCTCTCTCCAAAACTCATCCTATCTAGTCGCTAGTTTTGAGGGCAACCCAAAAGAACTGTGCTACTATGAATTCAAGTATATACCAATTATACTTATGGGCTTAAACACCTAATCCAACATCTATATATATACCGGTTGGGGCCCGATGCCAGGCGGGGCCTGATAAATGTGATGTGGCGGGGCCCATCTCATATTATTGACAGATTTGTTCCGAGCGGGGCTCGATGCCGGGCGGGGCCGATGGTTGTTAGGGATGGCCCATTGTATGTTTGATATGTATGGTATGAGGTATTTTGGGGATCTCACTAAGCTTTGTGCTTACGGTTTTTAGTTTATGTTTTAGGTTCTTCCGGATCGAAGGGGAAGGGCTCGGGTTGATCGCATCGCACACACCACGTTGTTTCATATTTTGTTGATTTGATGTACTTGTATGATTATTGACGTACTCTGGTTTTCCTTTATGGTTTTATAAACACATTTTGGATGATGGTTTTATTATTAATAAAATGAAATTTTTGGTCTTAAATTTTGGGACGTTTCAATTGCATTTTCTATATTTGACAAATCAAAGTTGTTGAAGTTAAGTGAGTTGTACAAAACAGATTTTAGTGATTTAGAAAGGGTGTATCTTGATGGTGAACTTGAAACCTATTATCACTCTTTGATTGGTGATGAGAGATTTTCGAATTTGAAGGGAATTGCAGACCTTTCTCGTTTGATGGTGGAAACTGAGAAACATCGTTCTTTTCCTTTGGTTTATAGGTTATTAAAGTTGACTTTGGTTTTGTCCGTCGCAACCGTAACCGTTGAAAGATGTTTTTCCACAATGAAGCTCTTGAAGACCGACTTACGTAATAAAATAGGTGATGATTTTTTTAATGATGCTTTGATTTGTAGTGTAGAAAAAGAAGCACTTATGGATGTAAAGATCGAACGAGTGATAGTGCGCTTTCGGAAAATGGGTAATCGTAGAGGTCAACTTTAAAATGTAATTATGTAAGACTTTTGCGCTAGTTTGTTATTTCTAGTGAAATCATAATTAAAAAAAATTATCTTACTATCTTTTATCGGGATTTTTTTATGCTACACCTTGCAAAAGTTTCTGGTTCCGCTACTGTTTGGTTCAGGCATTTCAACGAACAACTTGCATGTGTCATCCATCTTCAAACTTACTATGTAGCATTACCTCAAGCATTCCAGAGTTGGCACATAATAATACATTAAGCATTACCTCAAAGTGGTCAACAAGCTTCTGAAAATATAAGTAAACCATGTTGCAGTTTTCCGGCATCCAAATAAACCCATCAGTAGGATCAATGATAAGGGTGAGCTTATCTATTTGTGTTTGATCGAAATCACAGGTATCAGGGTCGATATATGCTACAAAGATTCTCACGTGTCTTGTGGTGTTACTCAACCATTGGCCACCGTACTCTCACCCTATGTTCTTACTTTGTACGTTCACGTATGGCTCGACGGGCCTCGGCTGGGTGACACCCTTCACCGCTGGTTTCTCTTCTCTCACTTCTTCTTGTTGTATTGAAGTTGATTCTTATACTTCTTGTTGCCGATCTGACACTGAGAAACCGTTAATGTTGCTTCGTCTTCTGGGGAATAACATTTATGTTTCGTTGATGGGTTTCCACACCACCATGGAAGCCATTACGATAAAGATGCTGCCATTGTTTTGGGTGCTTTGTTTTTGTTTAGAGTTCATGGTGATCTAATGGTTAAAATTTCATTTTTGTTGAATTAGGTGATGATATGTTTTTTTCTTTTTTTCTTTTTGTTTCAGATGTATGTAAAGGAGTAGGCAACAAAGTGTTTGGTGAAATTGCTATGCCACGATGAATAGTAAGGTGATAAACTGGTTGTGAGTGATGGGTTGGTTATGGAGTTATAAGGTGGGTTTATGGTAGGGAAGAAGATGAATAGTATTGGATTTAGGGTGGGAAAGAAGATGGATAGTATTGGGTTTATCAGGTGCTTCATGGGGTTGTACATTCAAAGTCAATGTGGGTTAAATGAAAACGGGTCAACAAACCTGTTATAGTAAGTAGTAATGATTAAAAAAGCAGGTTGACAACAACTTTATTCCCTCAAAAAACACGAAAATATGTTAAATGACTGAATATGCAAATGTGTAATACATTGTAAGGCTAATATGTCATTTTCCCTTATGAAATGATACCATTATTTTCATGATAGTTATTTCAAATTTCAATACATCAAAATCCCTTTACACACAAATCATAAAATGCCTAATTGCATCCGCAGTTTTAATAATTTACACCCAAGAAAGATAATTTCTCCTTCAATCTCGTGTAGTTACAAAGATTTTTCGTTTAAATATAGCATGAGATTTTCTAATATGTGTCTTTAGGGCATATATAAGACGCATGAGATTTTCTAATATGTGTCTTTAGGGCATATATAAGACGTATTAAATAAAAAAATATTATCATAATTAAATGTAAAATACATTAGTTATAAGAAATATTATCATAATTAAATATGAAATGCATTAATCATCTCCATAATAAATACATTATACATTTAATTATGATAACATTTCTTATAATTAATACTTTAAAAAATCTCATCTAGTATCAAGTAAACAAATGGAGAGTTTCTTTCTCCGGCTCCTACGATCATGTTAACATCAGAATGGCACTCCAATAACATGAGGTGAGCCTTTTAGCGAGGATACTGTGGGTCGCAAAGGTTTGCCAATTTTTTTCTTTGAAAGTCATGCTTTCCTTTGTACTTTAACGACTACAATTTCATTAGCATGCACTTTCCATGTACTTTAATAGGATGCGATTATTTAATTAATATTTTTAAGAAAACAATATTTATAACTTGTATTTTGTTTTTCTAATACCAACAAAATTACATTGGTGTCAATATAATGTAGTGGGTGTTTCTACTCCATCTTCATTACTCTTCTCAAAATAAAATTATTAAAAAATTGAAAAATATTGGTTGACCGACTCATATCCATCAGCACATGATTGCATTAAATTATTTACAACGTTTACATAACTTTTGATGTTTCCGTGTTATTTTATTCATACCTGCCTGCGCCAACTTAACCAGTTCCATCCAAATCAATTATCTTAAGTTCTTAACCGAAACAACAAAATGCAATAAGAAATTTAACCAGTACTTAAATAAATGGGTAGTTTTGACCTATATGTAGAAATTATTCTACCGGTGTTGAATAATTTAAATCTTAACGGTATAATTAGAGATTAAAAAACAAGTTTAATTATAAGTTACATGATAAAAAACAAGTTTAAATGTATATCTCATTAAACCATTTATGGAAAATATGGTGAGTAATATTGAGCCTTATTTAAATCCACACTATATATTTAGTCTTTGTGACTATGAAGGTTCGCATTGCAGTAACTACAATGCATGAAGAATACTTTTATGTTTGCAACGAGGATTAATCGGCGTATGAAAAGTGGCCCGTAAACTGTCATTATGGAAGTTCCCTTTTAAAAACAATGCATTCAGTGATCCAAATGTTTATAATTTATCAAATAAGTTTGTTCAAAAGATCAAGATGTTTATGATTTATCAAATAAGTTTGTTCAAAAGATCAAATTCTTATTTCAATAATAGGTTTTGACCGTTTTGTAGAGATATATATCTATCATGTATAGTAGTTGTTTATGAAATTAAAATAATAAACATTTATTTATTTGTTTATTTTATTCAATTTTTTTGACGGGTTAACCCGATACATAATTTTTTTACCTATGGACACAACTTAGGTTTGAGTTACACAACTGCTTGAATCCATATATTTTATCAGTAGTATAACTTAATATTATCGATCTTCAATTCTATAATGATTTTACATAACTAAATCAAATTAAATAATTTCCGAATTATGTTTGATCAACTAACGCCATTGTTTAACCTCGAAAATGCAAAAAACTTGGTCTATAAATACTTGAATCCAGGTTTCCACTTCTCATCACGAATCACAACACACAATTCAATTGACCATAGCGTCTTCATTCAAACCTATCCCATCACAACACAATGACTCACTCAATCACCACGTTCATGGTTCTCATATCCATCCTGGCTCTAGCCAATGCATCCAACCTCTACCCTCAGTTCTATGACCGCTCCTGCCCACAAGCTAAAAACATCGTCAGGTCTGTTGTCACAAAAGCTGTCGCAAAAGAGGCTCGCATGGCTGCTTCTTTGCTCAGACTCCATTTCCACGATTGTTTCGTCAAGGTTTGTATGAAGAAATGTAATGAAAGTCATCAGGTTTTGTTATAATAATCAGAAGAAACTAACGTTCTTTTGTTTGCAATGAAATGATCATTTAGGGTTGTGATGCTTCGATATTTCTGGACAACAGTGGAAGCATAATTAGCGAGAAGGGGTCAGTCCCAAACCGCAAGTCAGCTCGTGGGTTTGAAGTAGTTGACCAAATCAAAGCCGCATTGGAGAAGGCATGCCCTCAGACTGTCTCCTGTGCCGATGCCTTGGCTTTGGCAGCAAGAGACTCGACTGTTCTGGTATGTATCGTATCCTAAATCACCTGAAATCAACCATGGATAAAAGTTTATGTTTTTGTTGTTTGTAAATTAAAAGCATGATTTGAACTTGTGCATGCAGGCTGGTGGACCAAATTGGGAAGTGCCATTGGGGAGAAGGGATTCATTAGGTGCAAGCTTGAGTGGTTCCAACCAAAATATTCCAGCTCCAAACAACACTTTTCAGACCATTCTCACCAAATTTAAGCTCAAGGGTCTTGACATTGTTGATTTCGTAACCCTTTCAGGTAAGTAAAAAACTCGGCTGAAATTCAAGAAAATCTTGAAGAGTGTGTTAAAATCAAGAAAATTGACGGAGCCTCAACAGTCTCAGATGACGTTTTGGTGCTTATAACTTTTGCAGGAAGCCACACCATCGGAAATGCAAGGTGCACCAGTTTCAGGCAAAGGCTATACAATAACACCGGCAAGGGGCAGCCGGACTTTTCGCTAGACCAATCTTACGCCGCAAAACTGCGTCAAAACTGCCCGAGATCCGGTGGCGATCAGAACCTGTTTTTCTTGGATCCTGTGTCACCGACGAAGTTTGATAACAGTTACTACAAGAACTTGATAGCTTCGAAGGGGCTTCTTAGCTCTGATGAGATATTGTTTACTCAAAACCAGCAAACAATGCAGTATGTGAAGCAGTATGCGGCAAATCAAGAGCTTTTCTTTCAACAGTTTGCGAAGTCTATGGTTAAAATGGGAAACATCACTCCGTTGACCGGTAAAAGTGGTGAAATTAGGAAGAATTGCAGGAAAGTCAACAGTTGATATATCTCCTTTTGGTATACAAGTTGATTTTACATCATTTTGTGTGATACGTTGTATTTTATGACTTCAAGTTCTATCAATGTACCCTGTCATATGACAATTTTATTTGACATTAAGAGATACTGTATCTTTGTTTAGACTGAATCGCACCTACGTGAGTTTGTTGTTTATTTTAAAGACTGGTTATTGGTTGAAATTAAATTTAGTAAGTTAGTTAATTTTTCTATGCCTAATTTGAACGAGGACCTCCAATTAGACATTTTTTGAATGGTCAAATACTAATAATCAACCCAATTTTTTTTAGTGTTGGAGTGAATTGATTTTGGGTTAATGATACAATAAAATGACATATGAAAGTAACAAAATTTCCAGTTTGTTCAAAAATTATAATTAAAGATTTTTTTTTCTAGTTACTATACTACTAACTTACTAAAGTGTTAAAAAAAATACCATTACAACCTATAATAACATATTTCCTTGGTTATTATTACAAAAAATGATGACGTGGATATTATGTGGCAAAGAACATATTTCCTTGGTTATTATTACAAAAAATGATGACGTGGATATTATGTGGCAAAGAGAAGGGTAATGAAGTTTATCTTTGTTCAAAAAAATATATTTAATATTTATAAATTGTCCGAAAAATACCATTTTTTTACTTTGGTCATTAGATTTTTGTGTTGGCTTGTCTCTATCTCTCTTACTCTCACCCCCATCTCTCTCTCTCTCTCTCACACACACACACTCTCTCTCTCTTTATCTCTCTCTCTCTCTCTCTATATATATATATATATATATATATATATATATATATATATATATATATATATATATATATATATATATATATATAAGTTTTTTATTTTGGGATTGTAGACAATAAATGGATCAAGTAAGGCATTGGGCTTCAAGGGAATAAGGTTTAGACCCTATTGGATTTTCATAATATTGGTTATGAGATCGAAACCCTTAGTTTGTGTTTTGGAGTCAAAGGGTAAAATGGGAAAAATAACGTTTCAGACTTCTTTCATGAATTAAGGATTTTAGTTCGGTAAGTTTTAAATCAAAGTTAATTACATAGAATTATGGGGCTCTTCAATACCTTTCCGTGCATATAAAGAACGCCAAAAACATAGTTAAAACGAGGAACTTATGGTTGTTTGAAGTTGAAGTGAAAATTAGGGATTTTGTCCTACGCGAGGCATAGGAAAGTTACACATGGTGTAGCTGCTACGCATGGCATAGGAAAATTACGTAGGATGTATATGCTAAAATATTGGACGCGAGTTTAAAACCTACACATGGCGTAGATTATGCTACGCAGGGCGTAATCGCAAGTATATCAAAACCTTAATTCTTCGGTTTTGAGCCCTATTTAAGGGCTCTAACTTAAGGGAAACCCTCTTATGACCATCCTTCATCACCTAAGATCATTCCTTGAGAAAGTATAGCCTCATCTTACTTGTTTTGATCATTGGCATCATTTATGAGCGTATTTCTCCATTGGAAGGTTGAATATTGAAGAACAAGGTAATGGCAAAGTGTATAGAAGAAGGGTTCAAGTATAGATCCAACAAGGCTACTTCATTCCTGGACCATTGTGAGTAAAAAGGTTCTAAATTGCTCATTGGTTTCATAGATCTAGTTATTTGTTATATTTGCCACTTTTTAGTCCCTTGAACTTGTGTTTTGGGAGTTGGAAGAACTCCAACACCTTTTGAGCTATATGGAACACTCTTAGGACTTATTGGACTTGGAAAGTTGTGCTTTGGTGCTTGTTCTTTAAGCCATGCAAGTCGTGTTAACATTTTTGTCATTTTAGTACATAAAATTTAGATCTTGAAAGTTTGTGACCTTGTTATGGATAAAGTTGGAAACTTTATCCATCTAAACATCATAATGATTCAGATATGAAGGTTGGAGACTTAGACATAATGGATTAAGCTGAGCAAGATGCATTTTTTGGCCCCTTTGAGACTTAAAGACTTGATCTTGGTTGTTTGGACCATCCTAATGGATAAAGTTAGAAAAATTATCCATTATAGAGCTATTAGGAACCAAATATGAGAATTGGATGGTTAACTTTATGTATTAAGCACTTAATGGGAAAAGTTGGACAACAGCATGTTACACAGGGCGTAGTTTTGGCTACACAGCATGTAGCCCTTTTCTGCATCGTTTGGACGCCTTGTGCTCTACTTTGGGCATAGAGCATCTTGTGCGTGGGACGTAGGTTGATTGTGGTCGACCATTGACTGTTTGAGTGTTGACTTTGACCAATTTTGACTTTAGGTCAAATTGAGCATTTTAGGTTATAGATTGAGACTGGGTCCCTGTTTGTTGTATAGGTGACCTGTAGAGCCGGTTATTGGATCTGTGATCATCACTGTTATCTTCTCGACTACAAGGTGAGTCTTCTCACTATACTTGTTGGTCGAAGGCACCAATGTCGACCCACTAGATTGCGTTATGTTGGATGTTATTTGTCTTTGTGACTTTTTCATGTATGTTTGGGTTGAAAGATACCCTAGGGTTGGGCCCATTGATATGTATTGGGTTGAAAGATACCACGGGGCTGGGCCCATTATTGCATGTTCGGGTTGAAATACACCCCCAAGGTTGGGCCCATGATTGTATCTTTGGGTGAAATACACCTCCCGACTGGGCCCATGATTGTATGTTGGGTTGGAATATAACCCAGGGCTGGGCATACTGATTAGTATGGCATATGGTATTTTGGGGAACTCACTAAGCTTTGTGCTTATGGTTTATGTTTAAAGTGTTTTCAGGTACTTCTGGTTTCAAAATGATGGGCCCGTCTTGATCGCACAACATCCCTCATCATGATTCTGCATTGATTAATCTTTTACTCTGATGATTTTGATACACTGTATTGTGATTGATTTTGAGACGCCTGATGTATGGATTGATGATTTTTAAAATGAAAAAAATTATCTCTATTTTTGGGACGTTACAAGTTGGTATTAGAATCTTGGTTTGAGCGATTCGGGCACACTCTCGGGTGTGTCTGAACTCAAACTGAGGATTTCTAAAATATTTTAAAAGAAAATGATTTTATAAAATGGTTTTTAAGAAACAAGGGTGATTTATCTTAAGAAGGACTGATTTAGCCTTATTTGATTGATATGTTGGTGGAATTGATTGCTAAGTGTATACTTTAAAAATTGTATACGATTAGGAACATATAGCCTAAGAAGGACTGATTTAGCCTTATTTCCCGTTCCTTGCCTGGTTGTGGGCTTAGGGTAGAATCATTCATCCGACAGTCTATGTGATCCCGTTTTGTGTATAATTTGCATGCAAAAGGCAACCATAAGTGTTGGTAGAAGTTCCCAGCATCGCAGAAGAAAGTTAGTTGTAGGATGCCTTTTTATGTTTTGTGGCCTATAGAGTGTTACTGCCTGAATGCTACTTGCTTTGTGCTTTGTGGGACCCCATATTGATGTGAGCTAACTATTAAATGAATATGTTAAGTAACATGCTGCAAAGGTTAAATATTTCTAGAATGATTTATTTGGCCCTATTGTGCAGCTCTCATTTGAGTCTAACCGTTGTAGAGTTGGGTCTTTTATTCGAAAGACCATTTAAGTTTTGTTGCATGTAATTGTATTCATAAAGTAGTTAGTTGATATTAGTATGGGTTCTTCAGCAACTAATAGCAGGGTGAGGTGGGAATCCTATGAGAGCCTAAGAAGTGCCTTAGAGGAACTGGTGTGCAGTTTAGTGGTGTGTATTTGTTGAGAGCGGGTATATTTGATTGGATCGGACGGTAGTAGACATGAGTAGTTACTTAGAGGATCCATAACGATTTTTGAGGAAGGTACAGATAGGTGTGGAAAGTAGTATTGGGCCCGTAGTACTGAAAGCACATGATCTGTATTCGAATCAAGGAGGATTTCGAGGATTCTAAGGAGCTAATGGAGGGTAGATTATATGGTTTGACACCATGTTTCACTGCAATGCGTTTCCATCCTTATTGATTTATCAGTTATGGTTGTTCAGGCTAGGGATAGGTTTTGTGAATTGTTTGGGCCTTAGTGGCCATGTCAGTTTGGTTTTGAATGGTACAAACCTAGGCGAGTTAGTTGATTTTGAGTTCTTGAGGGCCTTGCTCTAGGTAATGCCAATCGAGTCGCGGGACTCAAGAAAGAAGCAATTGTGATGATTGGCTCGAGGATTGCAGCTGGAGGCTGAGTGATTGGCAGATGGATTGGGATGTCATTATCTTCGACGAGGTTTATGTACTTCCAATTTTCTGCGTTCGAAGGAAAGAGAGATCATACATGTGATTTTTAGAGTTAGGGTGTAGACCCAACATGAGACTAGATAATCGTGGTTTGTTTTGGCGACAAGTATGGCAGTGTGGGAATGCACAAGAGGGTACTTTTGGTATGGTTGCCTTGAGATGAGGTCAAGGGTCTTCTTTCTTTGAATATAGTTAGGTCAGGTTCTAGTTGATCATTTCAAGTGATCAGGGAAGTAAATCGAGAACAAAAAACTTTTGTTGTCTCTGATGTATCCCGACTATGAGAATGATGCCTCTTGTATTTATGAATGATTCTCGCGATGAATTGATGGTTGGGGATTTATATGCAAGGTGTGTGGTAGTCCATTTGTTTCCAGATAGAGTATCAGTGTTATGAATGGGCTGTCAGAATTATTGTTTGTGCATCTGCATAGGATTCTTGATGTTAGAAATGGTTATGATTGGGGAGTTTTCAAGGTCTCCATCTGAGATTTAGAATCTCTTTTAGTTTGCTTGGTATTTATCTGGAAGATCATCTTGCATTGTGTTATACACTCCAAGGGTCTAGGATCATATGTATCTGGTTAAGCCGGTTTGAGATTTGGTCTGTTGACAATGTCAGTTGGTGGTAGTTCGAACCCTAAGTGGGGGAGAACTGGGTATTCTTCTTAAAATATCATCGATCTATTCAAGTTTATGGTTTTGACTTAATAGGTCATAGGTATCTGCGGTTCGGGTATGTCATATTTTGGTTCATGATTTGGTGAAAACGGGGTACAGATCAAGTTGCCATCAGATGTATGTGCTCAGGAATTCATGAGTTGTCTTCACGGTAGGAATTTGTTGGACAAGGAGCTCATTATATCCAACTTCT